ACACCACAGTTGCGCAGAGTGATTTGCACAAGTTTTATCCAAAACAGCAAATCGAAGTTCCTTGGATATTATTGACCATACACACCAATTTAGGTAAATTTACAGTTGTATGCCCTTTTTTCGCACAAGCATTAGGTGAAACAATGAGGATATTTTGTCAGGTTGTTGTTTTCTTCACGTTTTTTGACAAAAGACGCTAATTTCTAGCAATTCGTAGTTGCGCACACTGTTTTGCACAATAATAGCAATTTTGAAGAGGTCTGCATGTTTCTGACCTAACAAGGCAATTTAAATAGAATTACAGTTGCGCACGCTGTTTTGCACAGGTTTTATCGAAAACGACATTTTTAAGTTTTTCGCACGTTTTTTACTCAAGAAGTCAATTTTATAGGCAAAATTACAGTTGTGCCTGTTGTTTTGCACAATTTTTAGCTTGAGGAGTTCGTTTTTTTGTCAGATTTATGTTTTCCGCAGGTTGTTAACAAAAGACGCAAATTTCAAGATAAACGAAAGTTGCGCAGAGTGTTTTGATGCCTCCTGAAGAATGGATGCGGGTGGGACTGACACGTCATTACAAAGAGTAGGTTGTTACTTTGGAAAAAATAATTTGAAAATTTGGAAAAGTACAATTTGTTTACTTTGTAAAAGATCTGAAACGATGTTAGATGAAATATTAAAACAAACTAATTCTAGCAAATAAGGCAAAAAATGCTGAATTTCGTGAAAAAGAACAAGAAATTTGAGTCGCAAAAGTTTTGGTTGTAAACAATGACGAATGCATTCGTAGAAGTATAGCTCTTAACTTTTAAAAAAAGTACTGATAGGTTTTCGGTATCTTGTGGGTAAGAATTTAACCCAAGGTGATAAATAGCGTTTCAGTTTCTGAGCAATGAGAGAGTGAGACCATGGAAAGGAAAATATAGGAGGGATGGTGTCCGACACATGATAGTCTCTTCGAGGAGGATGATGCTTTGGGAAACTTATTAATGGCAGCATTTGGACTGTTACTCATCTAATTTACGTCAGCTGTTACTGAATTTCTTTGAGCAAGTAAGGGTGGTCCAACATATACGAGATAAATACTGATTGAAATAAAATAAAGCAACGTTCAAGGGCTTCAGGGACCATAAACTGGTAGCGAATGTGTTGTGAAATAATCTAAAATTTTTGCGCCGGGGAAGGAGAGGAAGATTCAGTGTGTCTGGCCAATTGCGTCTAGAGAATCCAAAAACAGAGGGATGTCATGTCTAAGTGATTGGGAGTAAGGAATGCTAATCTTCACAGAAGTTTTTACTATGTAACATTAATTTATGAAAAAGTCTTTAAGCCCTTTGGTTTCTCCTAAGGCTTCCTTTACCCGTTCTTTTTAATCTGTTTTTTTTTTCTCTCCGTATTATTCGTAACATGCGTGTGGTGAAATAATACTAGGAAATATATAACGACCAAACGCGTGGTCGTTTTCTCAGTAATAAGACGCCAAACATATGAAAAACTTAACGCAAATTTAAATAAAAGTAAGTCTAATGTTTGGATTAGGTATAACAGCTGGACAAAATACGCTGAACAAACATATAAGTTTGATAATATAACTTTATGGAATCGTCGCTTTATTATCCGTTATTTTTTTAACTAACTAGTTTCATTTTTTAGTGATGTTATTCCCACCGCAATTAAAATAGGTTTAATGTATCAAAAGACACTAAAACAACTTTCCTGACTCAGGATGGATTTGATGGCATTGTGATTGGGACTGAGACTGATATCTTTCAAGCTTCAGGGAGGTTGTTGTTTTATAAAATCAATAAAAGATAAAAGTTGAGATGGCAAAGTGTAAACAACCATTCAATGTACAACTAATAGCAGAGTTACATCTCATCAAATATTCCCCACCCAAGTTTGTTGATTTTTCTTGCTGGAAATCAGCTGTTTTTTGAACGTCAAATACTTAGTCTTCAGCTTTAAATATTGCTTTCAGTTTAGCCTTTGTTTTTCTTTACGTATTGTTCGTAATTTGCGTGTGGTGAAATAATACTGAAAAATAAAGAATGGAGAAACACGTGGTCGGTTTCTAATAAGACGCCAAACACATGAAAAATGTAACACTAACTGAAATAAAAGTAAGTCTAATATTTGGACTTAGGTATAATAGGTGGACAAAATACGCTGAACAAAGATGTAAAAATAACCATCCAAGATGCACAACCAATAGCAGGGTTACGCGGCAGCATATTACCAACCCACGTTTCTTGATATCTCCTGCTCATTGAACTAGAAGAAAATTCTTCTTGCCTGGTAGGATCAGCTTGAAAACTGGTAGGTCAGCTATTCATGAGTTGGCATTTTAAACTAAGCTCGAGACACTTTGTTTTATTTTATCTTTCCAAACAAGGTGTCTTGCTGTCCATTCTATTTTGCTCAGATTGGGATATCCAGGGTTAGTACGAAAAACGATAGATGTGTTCGGAAGGTAGATGATTTCAGCTTCAAAAATTATACACTTAAATGGTAAGAACTAAATTTTTCTCAGCAGCTAGAGAGGAAGTTTGCGCGTCACATTTCAAACAGTCATGGAAGATGTGAAGTAGCTATATAGTTTGTCAGAGTTTAGCGATCCCATCAAAATTACTTGAGCTGGATATTTGAAAAAAACGTTTCACCAATATTTTGTTAGAAATAGGTTAACAGTTCTCCAATAATTACATTGTTTCAGCCTTCCGTTTGTGTGAATTTTTTAAATGCTATGGCAGGACGACGATAGTGTATCCAAATATGCAGTTTCTTAGAAAATACCTAATGTATACAGGTTTGTCAACTAAAGTATATCATGAAGAAAAAATATATTGATTTCACACATGCACAAACATACTATACAACACCAGGGACATATGTCTTCTAAAGTGCAGTGGAAAACGCATCGTCTGCCACATGCAGTGAGCAAACATACTCGCCTCTTTTTAAACCAGCCAGAAGAAAAAGCCAAATCAATCATATAACATGATAAAATTCCTAGCAGAAATCATGACAGAAGGAATATGTTTGCTGTAAGAAAAGGCTCGCTTGTTTATACGTAAGAAGACCAACAAATTTTGTTCATGTATGTGAGAGGGGTAACAGTTCAGTTAAACTTGGAATATGAAATATTATTATACAGACAGGATTGTTTTACTCAAAAATGCGCCACTTGTAAAATTCATAGGTAACTACATCCGGGACACCAGTCGCATATTTTTCATATCCTCACTAGTGAGGATATTAATGACATCATTTCCCGCCTTTCCACGGTTGTTTGTACAGTCGGTGAAATATGTCTATATAATATAAGGAAAATAGCACGGTGGCTTGAAGATGTGAATTTTATTTTCTCGTGTTAAAAACAATATTTTACTCACTCACTGTGCTCGTCAAAAAATATTGTTCTTACCACTTGCAAATAAAATCCATATCTTCGCCCTGCCGTGTAATATCCTCTGTGTATTGAGTAACCCCCTCCCCCACCATGTGCATAGGAGCAAATAAGAAGTTAGATAAACAACTTAATGAGAAAGTATGGAGTATGCATGTACATAGGCCAGCATTATGTAACGGAAGGAACATAATGGTTTTTATGTTGGGACCAAAGATAAGCTTATCAGTAGATAACAGCTAAGGAGCGGCATTGCGATAAGCAGTTCTCTGGGTGGCCTCTGCGGTCTATTACACGGTCTTTTATTTGTCACGTGGAGAGACATCAGCTATGTAAAGGCTGCGACAAGTAAGTTCTTCCCGTTTTTCTGTGAGCAAGCTCAGCGAGCACATCTCAGCGAAAATGAAAGTCTATCGCAACTCATTTTTGTTCCCAGTTTATCAGGCAAGTTTCATCATTTTGTCCTGTTTTTTATTTTCGTCTTATTGTTGTTGGGTACATGGAGCCACCTCAAATTTTAATCCTGGAACACTCCTTTATTCTTCGTCTTGCTGGGTTTTTGTAAAAAAGGGGGCACGAAGACCTCATGGCCAAACTCTCATCTCTAGGGTCCATACGTTTTCATGGTGTAGGTGGCCGTACAATTGCGCCGTCTAAGTCCTGATATTATAGTCTTGGAGTTGGGTTCTAACGACTTAACCAAACTGCCGGCACAAACCGTCGGTTCGGAGCTTGAAACTTTAGTGCGATATCTGCACGACGAGTTTAATGTGAAAAGCATTGCAGTATGCCAAGTTATTCGGCGGCACTCCCCTCAGTGTACTGCGTACAATTTAAAAGTTACCAAACTTCATTTGTATCTTAAGGCTGTTCTCGAACCAATACCTTACTGCTTGTACTGGAAACACAGGGGTTTCTGGAACTCCTGGGAAAACATTTACTTGCCGGATGGAGTTCACTTTAATGATTTAGGCAACTTCAAGTTGTTTCGAAGTATCCGGGGTGCAGTCATTAAGGCCGTAGGCCTACGGGGCTTATAATTTCACCATTTTATGAATACCAAAGTGCATACTTATGTCGTTGTAATATATAGTGACGTGTGAGGCATTTTTCTCTTATAGTCTGACTAGTGCCAATTTTACTTATGAGTTATCGGTGCCCGACACATGGCGTAATTAGTGTACTTATTTTTTGGCGGCTATCACGATAGTGTGCCCAGTGCACTCAGGTCATTATAGGACGTTAGTCCTCAATATGTCCATGCACCAATCCATATCCTCTCTATTTTGTTTGTCGCTTGCGAAAGGCCTGTCAGAATTTTTGCCTCAAGTCACATGTTCATTTTGTGATATAGTGATACCCGACACATAATTTTTGCGCCCGGTGAACCTTGGTGCGCCTATCTCTATTATTTTGTGTCCATGTATCATATATCCACAATTTTCCTCTATTGCATTCGATCGGTTGCTTACACCAAAATTTGGCCGGCTGACTGCAACCCGTTTTTACTCTCTTTACTATGCTTTGTTTAATTACTTATGTTAGTCGTCTTAGTCATGCGTTACTGGTCATTAATGATGTGCGGTTTATTTAAGTCATGCCTCCTAAGAGAAAATCAGCTAGACAGGCGGGTAGGTCAGCTGCCAAGATCACAAGACGAGAGACCCCATCCTCTAGTGCCTCGAGTGACCTGGCCGAGGATTCAGCAGCGCAACAAACAGCTGAACTTGTGAACATCGTGGACTTAACGAGCGTGGTCACATTGGCAGTGACAGAGGCCCTGAAAGCTGTTGGAGTTGGGCAAATGATCCCATTATCCAGTCCCCCCACGGTTAACCCAAGTCATGGGTCAGTAGATGCTTCAGCCACAGTGGCGACCGCCACAGCTGCCGAGATAGCCAGCTTTTCATCCCTGTCGGCGGGTATGTCAATATCAAATTCCAATGACAAACCTAGTGAAGTGAACTTCACGAGCGTAGCAATTGATTTGGAGGCACGGGTGTCGGCTAAGCTCAAGGCAAAGATCTGGGCCGATGAATACATTGATTTTGGGGCGCTACTATCGTCTTTTCCTGACGATGATAAATTTATTCTCTCTTTTAACTATGAGGGAAAATCGCCAAGTTCTTTGCCTCGAACCATCCAAACCAAAGCCCAAGTTTTTATCCTTGGGGCAATGGCAGACGGCCTTTAACACCTTTGCGGCTGTTTTTACAGTTAAATACCCGCTAAAGGTTGCGGCTTTTCTCAAATATTGTGAAGTTGTCAGAGATATTGCTAATAAGTCAGGAAACTGGCGTAATTACGACCAGCAATTCTGCTATTTGCGTCAAACAAATCCAGAGAAATTTCCCTGGGACAGGGTAATGTGGGAACTTTGGAATCAGGCCATTCACGTAACATAAAAATCTCACCGAATAATACACGGAATAACAAACCCCAAACCCGGCCATTTCTGTCCTTTCCAAAAGGTGTGTGCTGGAAATTTCACTCCGNAGAATTTTTGCCTCAAGTCACATGTTCATTTTGTGATATAGTGATACCCGACACATAATTTTTGCGCCCGGTGAACCTTGGTGCGCCTATCTCTATTATTTTGTGTCCATGTATCATATATCCACAATTTTCCTCTATTGCATTCGATCGGTTGCTTACACCAAAATTTGGCCGGCTGACTGCAACCCGTTTTTACTCTCTTTACTATGCTTTGTTTAATTACTTATGTTAGTCGTCTTAGTCATGCGTTACTGGTCATTAATGATGTGCGGTTTATTTAAGTCATGCCTCCTAAGAGAAAATCAGCTAGACAGGCGGGTAGGTCAGCTGCCAAGATCACAAGACGAGAGACCCCATCCTCTAGTGCCTCGAGTGACCTGGCCGAGGATTCAGCAGCGCAACAAACAGCTGAACTTGTGAACATCGTGGACTTAACGAGCGTGGTCACATTGGCAGTGACAGAGGCCCTGAAAGCTGTTGGAGTTGGGCAAATGATCCCATTATCCAGTCCCCCCACGGTTAACCCAAGTCATGGGTCAGTAGATGCTTCAGCCACAGTGGCGACCGCCACAGCTGCCGAGATAGCCAGCTTTTCATCCCTGTCGGCGGGTATGTCAATATCAAATTCCAATGACAAACCTAGTGAAGTGAACTTCACGAGCGTAGCAATTGATTTGGAGGCACGGGTGTCGGCTAAGCTCAAGGCAAAGATCTGGGCCGATGAATACATTGATTTTGGGGCGCTACTATCGTCTTTTCCTGACGATGATAAATTTATTCTCTCTTTTAACTATGAGGGAAAATCGCCAAGTTCTTTGCCTCGAACCATCCAAACCAAAGCCCAAGTTTTTATCCTTGGGGCAATGGCAGACGGCCTTTAACACCTTTGTGGCTGTTTTTACAGTTAAATACCCGCTAAAGGTTGCGGCTTTTCTCAAATATTGTGAAGTTGTCAGAGATATTGCTAATAAGTCAGGAAACTGGCGTAATTACGACCAGCAATTCTGCTATTTGCGTCAAACAAATCCAGAGAAATTTCCCTGGGACAGGGTAATGTGGGAACTTTGGAATCAGGCCATTCACGTAACATAAAAATCTCACCGAATAATACACGGAATAACAAACCCCAAACCCGGCCATTTCTGTCCTTTCCAAAAGGTGTGTGCTGGAAATTTCACTCCGGCGAATTCTGCGCCGGCTGTCGATTCAAGCACACGTGTTTGAAGCGCGGTGCCACGAATCCCGCAACTCAGTGTCATGCCAAGCCCAGTGTTCAGCATGCATCCTCAAGTGGAGAGGACAGAAAAGGATCCGCCCCACTTAAATTGCGGTCCAACTCCAGTAAAGCCGCACAGGCTGGAACCGATCCTTAGAGGGTATGATCCGGCCATAGCGACTTATCTCGTAAATGGCTTCCGTTTTGGTTTTTCTATTCGATATTTTGGGGATAAATTCAACTTTCGATCCAAAAATCTTAAGAGCGCTTTTGAAAACCCACGGGAAGTTACTGATAAGCTTAATAAGGAGGTATTGTCAGGACGAATAATTGGTCCTTTTGACACGCCTACTTTGAGAATTTTCGAATTTCCCCTCTTGGCCTGGTTCTTAAAAAAGCTCCTGGGGAATTCCGTCTCATACATCACTTGTCTTTTCCGGAAGGTTCTTCTGTAAATGACGGCATTCCTAGGGAGCTGTCTTCTGTACATTACGCTGCTATAGATGACGCGATTAAAAAAATTAGCTCATTAGGTGCTGACTGTTTCCTTGCAAAAACTGACATTAAGTCGGCTTTTCGCATAATACCTCTCCACCCTCGAGATTTTAACTTGCTTGGTTTAAAATGAGAGGGTAAATTCTATTTTGATCGTTGCCTTCCAATGGGTTGTTCGTCTTCGTGCAAGATAATTGAGGCATTTAGCACGGCACTTGAATGGATTGCCACAGCCAAATTACAAGCTTCCGCTGTCATACATATCTGAGACGATTTTCTGTTTTTAGCACCTTCGCGAAACAAGTGTCATAGGGATTTAGATAACTTTATCAAATCCGGTTCCGAGCAGCCTACTACCGCAGAATTGGGAGCTAACTTAAAACGCTTAATGCACTCTGCCATATCACCGGGGTCACGCAAAACGTACGAACAAGCATGGAATCATTTCTTAGATTTTTCCACCAGATACTGTGGCACAGTTTTCCCACAGTTTATCTACATGCCTTTTACATTTTAAGGTGAACAGCACGACGGGGAGGACGACTTTTTAGACATCTACAAAAGATTGGTGGAAAAACATGGCTCGGAATTGCCCAATTTTAAGCGCCGAGCGTAGGCTAGGATGCTGGTAAGTCCAATAAAACAAACCAACTACCTTCTGATGTCAACCTTCCAGCTCTAAAAATACTAAATAAACTCGTAATGTAGAGTGGTTTATTATTTTACGACTTGTACACAAGCCTAAAAAATGCGGATGGAAGGAAAGGCGGCGACAAGGGCTGCTAAAACGTTGCATAAAAGGTGAATTCGCGCTCTGACTATTAATCTTCATCGCGATTATCCCAATTCTCTTACTTCGGTAAAAGTAGGCAAAATCTTCTTAGAGTTCAACTCCTAAGAACCTTATTCAAGTTAAGAAAGAGAAAGAACATTTCGCCGTCGCTTGCTTACGTCCTCTACAAAACGTTAAATTTAGCATTTTGACGTCGTAGTCGTGCAGTGAAGGCAAAGAAATGTACAAAAAACGTGATGCAAGTGCAGAGTTGTTATTTTGCTAATCACTGAACCTATTGTTTTGTTTTACGTTCTTGTGGCATCGCCTACCCGATGTGCGAGAAAAAAAAGATTCGTTGAAAATTTGCTTAAATTTGCATATTTACACAGGGCAAAACCTGGACTTAAATCTGGCGGTACAAATGGCTCTAGCAATGGCTTCAACATTAGTGGTGTGAAGTTTCTGTAGAACCAATTAGCGGTTTCTGATCGAACAATTTTTGTGGTTTACAAGATGCTTGTCATTTGTACATTCCGTTCTTTTGGCACGCAAATAAAGCGTGGAGCAGCGAAATGTCCTCAGCATTCGTTTTTTTATGGGCAGAAAGCCGAAGCAACAGCAGGGGCCTGCTGCACACACCGCAAACCAGAATAAGGTGAAGTATTACCCAAGAGTCACTTCCTTAAGAATTTTTAAAACTTAATAACATTTTTTGGGGGAAGGGATTGGGGGGAGATAAGATCCACAAATATTGAAAAAGGTGTCGTGAATTAAATAGGTTAGGAATACGATTATGATAAAATCCCCCCTCCCCCATAAACTGAGAAACCTTTAAACGAATGTATTGCTTTTGCCTATTTCAAGAATTATAAATTAGGAATTTACGTCTTCTTTTTCAGGTGCAACTTTGTGGAGAAATACTAAGACAGTTACGGGAACTGAAAGATTTAAAGGATGCCGATGTCTTGGACTCCACACAATTTGAGAATCAGAAACGCATTCTGTTAACGGAGCTGAGTGGGCTGCAGTAAACAGGCATAATCCTGCGCTTCATTACATTGTTTTGTTATACTGTGAAATCGATAATTCTGACAACGATTGCTAATATTAAAACCAAATTTATGTCGGGAAAGTTAAAAACACAGAAGAGAAGACACTTTTGTTTTTGTGGGCATAATAATCATGAATAATAAAAATCGTGAAATTACGTGAAAAAACTCGGCTTTTATTTCTTGGTCTATCAAACACAAGAGTTAAATGTCAATCGTTCACAGCCTGGCCTAAATCTTGCCACTTTGATCAGGGAGGGTTAATATGCGTAGTGGCTTGTTGCCGCCGTTGGGCCACTGAGGCAAGAGGACGGGACCAGCTTAATGCTAAGTACAAATTAAGCACGGCAGGCCTAAAACATAGGTACTAGTGGGCTAACAAGTCAGTTTAAGGGCTGGTTGACTAATTACGTCCCTGTAGAGTGCATGTTAGTTTACAGATATTCTGAATGTCGAATATAGTTTCGCACTTCCTGGTCGAAAACGCTTAAACATCCTTCCATGACCATAACATTTAAAGTTTTCGGGTTGATCACACATTCGCCATTCTTGATCATTCCAAAAAGAAAAATAAATTTTAACGCGATATGACTGTACATGTAAATCAGTCCCGTGCCAACTTATAAATTCACTCTCGTCCAAAAACACCAGCATAATCAGCGTCAAACAAACAAATATTTGCCCAGTACATTTGTCGAAGTTCTTCATTTCTCTGCAACCCAATCTGTCGAACCTATCAATTGGACAGATCGTTAGGTTAATATAAGACAATTTAAACCACGCAAGCGGAAGGCAAATATGAAGATTACCTTTTTGCGTGATATTCCATTGCGTTGGAAGTAATAATGAAGAGAGGAAAGGGCGAATTCGGAACCTGTGCTTCTGTAACTTTGATCAAAAATCTCATTTAAGGACACTGTTGCATTTTCCAGTACTGCCTCCATAATTATAAGCTCTTCTGGCGGCTGGAAATACAAGCTTCCCAGAGGTCTTCCGATCTTTTTTGCTTTCACATAACCAGAAACAAAATAACCATGTAAGTAGCGCCTAAGAGTCCATTTGGATATCCCATGATGGAAACAGGTTTCTTCCTTTGAATACCCACAAAAATGCCTGATCCAAATCGCCCTCCAACGGAGGTCTACGGAGTATGGCGCGGGCATGTTACAAACTGCACTTGCTCCCGTAATGCACCGCGCGCTATGAAACATGGATCATGCATCATGAATCATTCTTCGCCGAAGCAACCTTAATTGAAATAGGTGTAAGTCTGCATGATTTTCACTGGCAAAGCAATGCATTTCCTGTGGTTTGATTTCCAAACTCATGGTTTTACCTTATATTTAGCAAGAATTGCGTCGTAGCAATGTTCAGCTGCTTTACGAAAAGCGAAAAAAAATTTTACTACGTGAGGTTTATTTATTAGTTACTTAGATAAATTTTCTACCTGAGTCAGTTTACATTTGGCGAAGGAAGCATTAATGCTTTGCGCAAAATACAATTTACAATCGGAACGAACTTTTGAAACACCCTGTAGTTTTGATGTTAAATTCCAGTCCTTAAATGTAAGAGGATTGAATAAGTCAATCAAACGTCGATCAATCTTCCGTTGGTTACATAATCAAAGATTTCATTTCGCATTCTTACAAGAAACCTACAGCTCTAAAGAATGTCCTTTATGCAACCTTGAAAGTCAATCTCTAAAACATATGTTAATTACTTGTACAGTATCCTCTTCTTTTTGGACTTGTTTTTCTGACTGGTGGCACAAAAAATTTAATCAAAAACTGACTTTATCTGAAAGCACTATTTTATATGGTTGGCACAAAGAGTCAAATAACTGGGAAGTGCTTAAGTACTGTTTGATTGTCGCCAAATATAGTTTTTGCTACAAGCGTACGCAACAGCGTCCTGGACTTTGACAGTTTTCTACTGTGTCTCAATAACAAAATTGATATTCTTCGCACCATAGCTTTTAGATCTAACCGCTTATCGCAATTTAAAAAAACATGGGCCAAACTTCTTTAGATATGTGAATGCTAGTGTCATTTCCATAATACTTATTCCTTTAGGCTACACTTAACTGCTGTACTGTTTCACTTATTAGCTTTGTGTCTTTTTCCTTTTAATTTAGTTTCTTTCCTTTACAAATTTAGTTTTTTTTTTCTATATCCCTATATATATTATTTTCAGCTCGCCGCGAAAGTAGAAAATTGTTTTGAATAGTTAAAAGAACACTTATTTGTAATCATAAATTTTTTTTGTAAATAAATAAATAATTAAAAAAAAACAAAAAAAACAAATACAAATGCCTCTTCCTTAAATTTAAACAAACACTGCAGGCCAAAGAAGTTATATTTTCATTGCTGAAATATTTTTCTGTTACCTGCATAATTTAATGCCAATTATTTTCCCGTGATCAACATAGATGTATTAG